AGCGTCACCAAACTTTGCCTCGGCTCCGGAGGAAGGAGGGATGTGACCTGGAAAGGAGGAACGGCAGAAAGGGGATGGTGCTGCGGCTTGGAAAAGGTTTTTTATCCCCCCCGCCCTCCGCTGTCTCAGGATCGTTGGGATTTTACAAATGAGAGCAGGAAGCTGCAGTCAAAGGGGGGGGTGCCAGAAATAGATTTATTTTTTCTTTCTCCTGCTAGAAATGAAGAAATTTGGGAGTCCATAGAGGCTGTTCCACAGGCACCCCCACTTTTTGCTTGCCGAGGCATTTGCGTTCCTCTGGAAAGTGGCATCCACCTGCAAGGGGAGTTGCCATGTAATCCCAAAGAATAAAAACTCCTGGAAACCTCTCCGTGCCACTGAGCCAACTCCAGAGGGACCCAAGTTGGGAATTGGCAGGACATGTCCTGACTCTTTTCGGAGGATAGAGGAGAAGGATCAGCTGGGAAGATGTTAAATATTAATATTTTACCCAATCGCCGCCATTCGTGGATTTGGTGAGTATGCCATGGGTTTGTCCAGATCACAGCACTTCTGGTGGGCACAAAAGCTTGGAAATGAGGATTTTTCCTGGTTGGGAAGCAGCTGCTGGATGGGAACATGGATAAGGGGGTTCCTGGAGCTGTGGGTTTGCTGAATATTTCCTTCTCTGATCTTCCCTGCTCAGAGTTTGATCTGAGGCACCCTCACAACACCTCCGAGCGGGACTGTGGGGACAGGGTGGGGAGAGGATGGAAAATTTCCCGCTGTCCTGGTTTATTTTCCTTCTCAGGTGTTTATGAACCTCAATTTTCCTTTAAAAATTAACGAGTCCCTAAAACGTCCCTCGCTGGAGCGATTCCGTGGTGCCACCTCGGCACCTTCTCCCTGTTGCATTTTCATGAGCAGATGGAGCAGCTGCTGCTGCCTCTGCTGGGCCAGGGCAGGGGGACAGGGAGAGCCCAGGGGAATCCCAGAGGCTTTCCCAGCTTGGGGCTGGGACACGGCACCAAAACCTCATTTTATGGGTAAAGATCCGCCGGTGGAGTTCAGGGCTGGAGTCTTTGGCTGGTGTTGGTCCATGTGGGCTTCCAGGGTGGATAGGCTGTGGAATCTGTGGGAATTATCTGGAGATAATTTTATATTCTGCTTCTTCAAATCCTGCGTTCTGTGATCTCACCTACACATAAATATTTTGGGTTTACACAGAATTTATTCTCTGTAATCTCATTATGGTTTTTAATCGTTGAACCGCGGTTCTGGGATCAACCTACAGGTCAATATTTATATATAGGAATTAAAATATCCCCTGATATATAAATATGTAAATAAAATATAAACAAATATATAGAAATATCCAAGGCTCTGAGCCTTGGAATGGTGCTGGGGAGGGATGGGGTTGGCTTCTCCAGAGGGCATCCTGCAGTTCCAGGATGAGAGAACAGGAAGGAGAATGCTTGGAGAACAGGAAGAATGCAGGGCCTGTATTAAAACTATGGAATCCTGGAATGGGTTGGGTGGGAGATCATCTCATTCCATCCAGGGACACCTTCCACCATCCCCACCATGCTCCAGGCTGGCCTGGGACACTGCCAGGGACCCACAGCTGCTCTGGGAAATCCATCCCATGGCCTCACAGGGAGGAATTCCTTCCCAGCATTTCTTCCTGACGCCCAATCCAACCCAGCCTATCTTGGGATTTTTCCCATGGCTTCCCCTTGAGGTTTAGCCGGGGTGGTTGTTGATTTGTTTTGGAAAGTTCCTCCTGAGGAGGTGCCCCAATAAGCCAAGAAAGAGGAATATTGGGTGGGAAGTGTTAATCGATTTGCCAGATTTACAACTGAAGGGAAGGGGAGAGATCCTGTGCTTTAATTATGGACAAAATCAGCACCCAAAGAGCCCAGGAATTGATGGGAAAAAGCATTTCCCTTTGGAGAGCCCCATTTCTGGGGCTGCAGGAGAACAGAACTCATTTCAGCTCTAGGGGCTGAAACAAACCCTGGGCAGCCCCAGGTGCCACCAGGGGACATGGTCAGGGATGGGGCTGGGACAGAGCCATGGGATCAGCCAGGGGGTTCCAGCCGATGGAAACTGTGCAGCTCAAAGGCAGCCTTGGCAGGGGTGGATTTATGAAGGAAAAGGGATAAAGTTATCCCAAGAAAATTCCCTTCACCTGTGCCCAGGTGAAAACAAAGCCAGTTCTTCACCCCATCCTGGCCTAGCTTGAGTCAGGCTGAGCCTTGCTAAACCAGACCTGTGTGAGCTCCTGGCTGCTGTTCAGAGCCCACATGGGGGGCGAGACTCATTAATTCCCGGTATAAATGTCTTCAGGGATTCCTTCCCTCTGGAATAAAATGTTTTGGGCTTCTTTGGAGCTTCTCCCTCCTCTGTTCCATCACCCCAAAGGAAATTTTGAACTGGATCTTCATCCTGGCCTGGTGGGATGGGATGAACTTTCAGTGTCCCAAAGCTTTCCATGATTCCATGGGTGACCTTTATCTTCCAGGTTCTCCCCAAATCCAGGAGAGGAGCTGCTGCCCTCCATCCCCTCGTGGGGACAGTGTGGGACCTTGGTCACTGCTGCTTTGGGCTGCAGAGGGGAGGGGTGGCAATGGGGCTTGGAGCTCACTCTGGGATTATGGAAGCTGGGGCTGCTCCAGCACTGCAGCTCCTCTGGAGCAATGTGGGAATTCTTGGTTGTTCACGGGGATGGCCCCAAACTCAGGCCTGACTCTGGAGCTGCAGAGGCTGAACTGGGGCAGGGGGGGAGCAGAAACTCTGTCCTGAGGTGAAGTGGTGGCATCAAATCCCAGGATTGCTGACAGCTCAGGAATCTCGGAGAGGCCACAGCTCCCTGATAGCAGCTGGAGTGGCAGGAGTGTCTTTGTGTTGGGATGTAAACAGATTTATCAGTGCAGTGATAACCACGGGACCAGGAGTCACCCTGACCTTGGCTCCCTGTGCTCCCTGGTTCAGGCTGAGCTGTGGCACTTGGCTGTGAGGCTGGAGGGGTTTTCCATAACGTGGTGCCATAATTGTGGAGTTCCTGAGGCTGGAAAAGCCCCCCGAGACCACCGAGTCCCCAGCCCTGCCAAGGCCACCCGTGTCCCCAGGTGCCACATCCACAGGGCTTTTCAAACCCTCCAGGGATGGGGATTCCATCCCTGCTCTGGGCAGCTGAGCCAGGGCTGGAAAGGAGGAAATTTTCCCAAATACCCAATCTAAACCTCCTCTGGGACAGCTTGAAGCCGTCTCCTGTTGTCCTGTCACTGCTCCCTGGGAGCAGAGCCCCATTTCCCCTCATTTCATGGACAAATTTCACTTTGATTTTTGTATTGACTTTCAGAATACTCAAGGTTTGCTCTGGGAATTAACACTCTCCAGATCTGTGGGTTAAACCTTCCAGCCACCTTATTTCCATGGATTTCAGCTGGATCTTAAACCATTTTGGTTCTCCTGACGGATTAATTCCACAGCCTCCTATAAATAGGCAGGATTTCCAACAAAGCAATGATTTATATGCAGCAGGTAGATTTGAGAGACAGAACTCTGAAGTCTGTAGGCACAATTTAGAAAAGGAGAGGCCAAATATTTCTCCTGCTCTCAGAAGAGCCTGGAGGAAGCACAAAGAGCTGGCTGTGTCTGCAGCAGAGACAATGCCTGCCTGGAAGGAGCAGGGAGCAGATGATGGGATTTAATTGGCAGCGTTTGGCTGGGGGGAGCTGGGTGTGCAGGGGCTCTGGGGAGCAAGGGGCTGCTGTTTAATTATTGGTATTTAGTGACCTTTCCCTTCTCCTCAGGCTGGGCCTTTTCAAGTTGCTCCTGGCTGTGTTTTCCCGCTGCTTTTGAGAGGCAGGAGGTGAGAGTTAGAGGCTGCTCCTGACGCATTTACATTTCCATATTTCCATTCATTACCTTCACTCGCAGGGAAGGGATCTGTCTGGGTAGCTTCACTGGCATGGGAAACTTTTCAGATGAGTTCCTGGACGTCTGAGCCTGCCATGCACACANTCATCCAACCTCATCCAACCTCATCCAGCCTCATCCAGCCTCATCCAACCTCATCCTGCCTCATCCAACCTCATCCAACCTCATCCAGCCTCATCCAACCCCTCCAACCTCATTCAACCTTCATCAATTTTATCCAACTTCATCCAGCCTCATCCAACCCCATCCAGCCTCATCCAACCTTATCCAACCTTATCCAGCCCCATCCAACCTCATCCAACCTCATCCAACCTCATCCAACCCCTCCAACCTCATCCAACCTCATCCAACCTCATCCAACCCCTCCAACCCCTCCAACCTCATCCAACCTCATCCAACTCCATCCAACCTTATCCAACCTCATCCAACATCATCCAATCCCTCCAACCTCATTCAACCTTCATCAATTTTATCCAACCTCATCCAGCCTCATCCAGCCTCATCCAACCCCATCCAACCGCATCCAGCCTCATCACCCAAAGGATCTGGGAAACTGAATCCCAAGGTTCCTTGGTTTTCTAATATTTTCACTCATTTCGGGATGTGGGAAGTTGAAGATTCCCAGCTTTTCAGGGTTTAGGAGCTGTTTTGGAGTGAAAATCCAGGGTTGGAGAGTTTGCTGAAGGGAGATGAAGAGCACTGTCCTGAGGATTGCAGGTCTGGCTGTCCTGTGCCTTCCGTCTGTCCTGTCCCAAGGCTCCTCGTGTTCCTGGATTTTCTTTGGATGGGACACCTGGAGATGGGGCAGTGGTGGCAGCAGGCAGCCTTCAGGAGCTGCTGGTGGCCGTCTCCAAAGATCTGGGATCTTCTCCTCCTGGATTCACCTGGGAATTCACCACGGCCATGGCCGGGAGACCTGTGGAAAACGGGATTAAACTTCCCTGGCTGCCCCAGGGCTTCCTCCCTGCCACAAACTCTGGGAAACACGGTACAACATTTCCATGCTGATGGATTTGTGCTGCGAGGAACCTGAGGGGTGCTGGGAGTGAGCACTAGGGGAGAGGAGAAAGGAGCAATCGGAGGAAAGTGCTGCTTTCCCCGGCTCCTGGCAGGAAATCGCTCCTTAAGTGGCGCTCCCGAATTGTCAGCTGCTTGTTTTAACACAAAATGTGTAAAAATTCCAGCCCTGCTCCTCTCCAGGAGATGGGAAAGCTCTGGAGAGCTGCAGCTTCAGGGCTTGGAGACAGGGAACAAAAAGCTGTGGGGGTTATAAGTCATAATATTGTGACCTATTCCAGAGGCAGCGATTTTATTCCCGGATAAATCAGCACAGTGGAGGAGGCGCGGAGAAACCAGGAAGGTTTGGGATGCTCAGGGCTTCCCTTCCCCATCCTGCTCCTCGTTCCACGGCTGGAGATCCAGATCTTTGTGCCAGGGTCTGGATGCAAATCCAGCCTTGGATGCTGCGGGCATCCAGGGAATTCCTGGGGTGACACTGTCAAGGGGACAAGGCAGGGGTTGGGCAGAGCTGGGACTCGATGGCCTCGAGGGGCTTTTCCAACCTCAGTGATTCCATGAATTCCAGCACTTT